GTATCTCTCCAGGGACCAGCGATGTTGAACATTTATATATATATATGTATTTTTTTTTCCTTTTGTGCTTTTTCATCTGAGAAGTATCTATTCATTTTGGATGCTCATTTTTGGTTTTGGCCTGACTTTTTGAGTTTTTATATGTTCTAAATAATAGGGTCTGAGAAACAGCTGTCAAAATATTTTCCAACTCTGTATATTGTCTTTTCACTGTGTTGGGTTATCTTGTGCAAAAACCTCTTAATAAGGTGAGGTACCTGTTGTCGATTCCTTGTGACAGTTCTGTGTGATCTGGGTTTTGTTCAGAAAATCTCTGCCTACACCAATGTCTTCAAGAGTTCCGCCTATTCTCTTTCCCAGCAGATTTAGTGTTTCTGTTCTAAATAGTTTTATTTTTGAAAATTCTATTTATTGTGTATATGTAAAATATTAGAACATTATGTCTTGACAGCTATACACATAATGAAGTGAGCCAAGTAAATTAATATATGCATCATTTCATGTAGTTACCTTGGTATGTGTGGTATACATTCTTGGTATATCGTTTACTTTACTCATCAACTGTATATTCTACACTTCTTTATATTATATAAGTACAATTGTTTACTGTATGACTTCCATTTCCTTAGCGCCCTGCCAAGTTATATAAGACCTTCATGCCAAAATAGCTGTTATATGTTCATTTATTATGGTAGAAAGAATCAGTTGGGGTGAGATCTAAGCTAAAAATGTGTTTCTTCAATAATGGGAAAAGCTAGAGCACCAGGAAACATGTAAAAATATTATCTTTTCTGGTGACTGTGATTTGCTGTAAATGTGGCATGCCCAGAACAAGCCCATATGTAATATCCTGCTAGTGTCACCACCTGGAGTTGACCACTCTGCAGTGTGGGTGCACATTCTCTTAAAAAAAAAAGAATAAAAATGATGATACAGAATTTCAAAACAAAATAATAGGAAATTAATACTTTTTATCTTCAAAGTAGTTGTTCAGATTACAAAATTTAGGTATAAAAAATAAACAATGAAAGCACTAACTGTTCTTTTTGATTAAAAGAGATTAGTAGTATAGTTATTAAGTATTTTTGGTGCTCAGTCTGAAGTGACACAGAGAAAATGAGAGAGATAAAAAGGAGACAAAGATGAGACCTTTAATGCGGGCATGGGAGAACTTCACAGGGCAGGGGGTACAGAGAACCTCCAGGGAGAACGAAGAAGTGGGAGTACTTTTATCAGTTCTGGCTGGGGGAGGAGTTTGGGAGGTGGGCAAAATGACATGTTAACCACTGATGGAAGGAGCATCTGCCTGTGTAAAGCAGGAGTCAGAAAGATTTACTGGGGGCTGCAGGTGGAGGCTTGGGTGCTTGTGGAGTCTTGGGATTGGAAAGAGCTCAGAGCACACGCAAAAAAGGAGTGGGAGGGTTATCTCTGAAATGAAAAGGAGAAGGTAGAAGTTACTCTTGGAGAGATAAGTTGTTTCTCTGGGTCTGGTACCAAGTTGGGAGTATGTAGCTAAACCCCGGGCCAGGAGGACCTTTCAGTTATCTAGCTTGTATATCTATTTTGTGTGTGTATATATATATATAATCTTTTCCCTTCTTTCTTTTTTCTTTTCCCCTATCCCAGCTGATTTTTTTTTCCTTTGAGCGCTTTCTTTCCCTTTCATTTTCACCATTACATGAATGCATACACACATGCACACACACACACACACACACACACACACACACACATACACATTTTCTTATATTTATTGAATATCTGTTATGATGCTTATAGATAGTCATTCAGTGCACAATTATTTGTTATATCTTTAAAGTATCTTCATTACTTTAGTATGAGAGTTGAGGCAGGAGACAAACAAGTCCTTGTTCTCATTGGTTTACATAAGACTGAGCTGGAAGCTGATGAGACTATGTTTAGTGAAGTCTTACCAGAAACAAGTGGGTTACAAAATGCTTATAATGTCAAATAAATTGTAAAGAAGAGCTGTGGGTATTAGGACTGAGTTTATTTGTTAGTAGCATGTTTGGAAAGTCTTGATCTGGGTGAATTGTTACAAGTTCCTTGTTTTAAAATAATTACTGATAATAATATTTTTAATATACTGATATTCTGAAGATGGTAATATTCAGGGCATATTTTTGGTGTCAATTAGGTAGGAATTAGCATATTAGTTTGATAGTTTCAGTAATAACTACATTTTATTCTCAAAGAATAGTATAAACATCAAGTTGGACATATTTCCATAAAATAACTATTTGTAATTTTATACTTCAAATATATGTTTTATTGGAAGGCAGAGTTCTGTGTTAGTTTGACATTGCTAAGGCAATTTTTTTATAGTTGATGTTCCTGGAAATACTGCTACAAAATTAATTTATGCTTAAATGAGACTAACAGGAAAATAAAACAAAAGTTGACATGAATGTGGTAGAAAAACAAGTCTATTCATTCTTGTAGAGTGGAGTAACTAAGCATGTTTTATTTAGGACCATAGAGGAAAATGATAATAAGGGCAGATGATTAATTGCTAAAACTGACTTAAAGCAGTCAATAGCAGAATAGGAAAGTATCTACGTCCTTTTTCTTATAAGCTGCTTATCATAGGCTTCTGAGAAGTAAAGTGATCTATCCCAAGCACCTTATTCCATATGATAGTACTTCACATATTTGAGAATGACAGTCATCTCTCCTTGGAGCTATCATGTCAAACTGAAACACACACGTTTACATATTTACTCACTGCTCTTGACTTCTGTATGTCAGACAGCACATTACTAATAGAGGTCACTGATTATTACCCCTTGAAATACTGGCCTTTTCAGTGGATTCTTGTGTTCCACAGATACCTGCCTGGGAATTTCTGTTTTGTACTATGGACACTTGGATCTAATTCCTGGCTTCCAGGTGGTTTATAAATTCATGGCTCACAGGTGAATTGCTTTGGCTTTGCTTTTGCATTAACATGGTTTGTAGCAGGGTCATAAATATTCCGTGGGCAAATCCAAACTACTTCGAGAATGGTAAGAATTTAGTCCACAACTAGATGGGACTGGAAAATTGTTAAACAGAAATAAATGTTGATTTTCAGAAAAGAAGACACTAGTAATAATCCAGGAATATAAATTCCAGCCTGTTTTGATAAGAACCTGAGATTGATTTCTCCCTAGTCACACAGATGCAATTTATCTATAATTTTCACACTGTATTTGGTGTGGATTGTTGGGAAAAATAAAGTTGTTCATTGATTAACATTTGAAAAACCAATTAGTATTTACTTTGCATGAATAAATAAATGCACAATGTCAAAGCCAAATAGAAGCATTAATAGAACTAACAAGCACCTAAAGCAAATAACTTGACCATGGAATTCTGAAGGAAAAATATCTAAATCAAGACGTGATTTCAATACAAACTCCAGACCAGAGTCCACTATTAGGGCCCAGTGACTAACTCTTCTCACCATAGAACATGTAGATAATGCACTATCCATATTTCCTTAGGAAATACGACATCTGTGCTTTCTTTTTAATCACATACCATCTCTGTTTTAGCAAAACACTAAAGAATGACAAGAATGTGTAAAATATCTGAAAATGTGCAATACTAAAATTCATCCTATGGATGCTAGTTCCAAAGGATTAAGAAAAGTAAATGTAAAGGACAGTTTGTAAGGAAAATGGATTTGAGAGACACTGGGTTAAATTTAATTTAGTTAGCTGAGGCTATAGCTCAGCGTGGCATAAGTACTTGCCTGGAAAGCGCAAGGCCATGAGTTCAATCCCCGGTCCAAAAACAAACAAACAAACAAACAAACAAAAAACCTAATTGTTAGAAGGCTTTATAGTAGAATCTATAGGATCCATACTATCAAAGATGACTCTCAAAGAAAAGAGGACTGAGTGCTTTCCAAAACATTGGGAATGTGTTAAAGTGCATATGTCAAGCATTGCTCATGGCCAGTTCAATTAGGATAATGCTCTGAGATGTGTACATGGGTATTTTTGTTATGTAAGAAAAATCTTTAGGACAGATAGAATGGGCTGCTGCTTCTTCACTTTTCTCCTTTCTTCTGCCTTCTCTGGCCGGGTATCCATCCATTTATGCAAGGACTTCTTTCATTCAGCAAACTACAATGTGAGTTTTAAACAGTCTCCTGAGATGACTTATTTATTGTGAGGATAAAGAAAAGAATTTAAGGTAAAAGAAGTTACAGGCAGTTGGCCTCATCTTGGTGATTTTTTTAGAACTTCTATTTTGAGGAGTTTGATACTTTGGGACATTTGTTTCCTGAGATTGCTAAAATGTGTTGTTTTTGTTTCTGTTTGGGTTGGTAATGAACTTTTCCTAAAGCAGCATTGCTGGTAGAACTTAGAGTGGGTTGGTGGGGTCTGCAGGACAGGAGCTTCCATCCTGGCTCTGGTCTCAGTGGTGTTCAGCGCACCTTACAAGTGCCCAGCCATGAGGTTCACAGGTGATTTGGATCTAACCTGGCCTGGCTGCAAAGCCCAGCCTGTCTTCTAGCCAGCTGAGCTCAGTGGGGAAGTGAAAGGAAGCCACAGACTCAGTGCTCACATTTAAAACATCTAGCGTTGTTTATCTGAGCTTGTCAGCTACAAGGCACAATGGCAGGACAGTTTGCCCAGTCCAAGTGAACTGGAACTGTGTGCAAAGGTAATAGACAGGCAAATTCTGAGATCCAGTGGAAAGAGCTTCCAGCAAGGAAACCCCGGGGAAGGGTGTGCACACTGACTCTGGAAATGCTTTCAATCTGAGATCTGGCAGCAATAAACCTGAATCTGAGGGCATGAAAATTACCCACATACTCAAAACTTTTTGTCAGGTGCTTAAATACAGTGGTAAATAGAGATCTTTTTCAACAGCCAGAATCTGAACAAAGACTGAAAAAATCAGGTGTCTGATATAAGGACCAATAAAGCAAAACTCCCAGGTTCATCTTATGTCCAGTTACCAAAAGCACCTCCTTTCTGATTTGGAAATGAAAAGAGCAGGACCCATCACCGACCAAGGTCATCTTCCACTGTCAAAATAGCACATTTTCTTTAGAAGCCAAAGTCTGGTTTGTACCTTTTTGTTGTTGTTGTTATAACCACATAATTGTGTATGTCAATTACTCTTTAAACAGTTTGGTTCTTGCTAAGTGACTAGTATCTTTATAACTTCTCTGCCTACTTGTGGAAGAAATGTGCCTTCTAAGGCATAATGAATGGTGGGAAAAATATTTCTAAATCAGAGAAATCTGTGACTTTAGGACTTGGATCTTGCAGATAGTGGTGGCGTCTCTGGTGTTTTAACGTACTCTGGGCTCCAGCATTTCATAAAGTATCTTGAACTAGACAGTTGGCTTCTTCATGTTTTTGTAGGATCACTAGAAACTTCATTAGACCTTGCACGTGTAATCTTTTGTGTTTTGATAAAGATTTTAATCACAATGAAACTGAATGTATGTAATGAGAAAAAGCCATTTTCTAAACTGGTTTGACTGACGTGGGAATATTGAAGATGGTGGACTAAGGGTCGCTGTGAACAATGTGGTTCTGACTTACTAGAGTCTATTTCAGAGCTTTTGTGTTGCTTTAAAACAGAGATCAACAAACTAGACCCTCTTGGTCAAATCTAGCTGGCTTCCAGTTTTTGTAGTTATATTTTACTGCACCTTAGCCAAAGTCATTTGTTTATGTGTTTTTTAATCACTGCTTTTATACTACCATAGCAGAGTTAAATTGTGACAGAAATCACAGAGCCTGTAACCCTGAAATATTTACACAATATTTGGCTTTTTTGCAACAAAAATCTGTCACTCTTGTTTAAAATTCCAGGCACTGAAACTCCATTGATAAACACACTTTAAATTAGAAGACCTATAGATGTCTGTGTACATGTAGATTGGAACTGAACTCACTTGTCTCTCATAGTGCCTCTCTCTCTCTTTTCTTTATTTCTGCTTGCTTGCTTGCTGTACTCGGGATGGAGTCCAGGACCTTGCAGTTGCCAAACAAGTGCTCTACCACAAAGCTGTGACCCTCACTGCAGTGGTTCTCTTAATTGTGCAAGTCTGCTGTTGGTTTTCCCTTAAACTGCTTTCCCTGAGATCTCTTGTATGTTGATATTTTCAACTCTTCTTCTGAATTTTCTCTCGGCATTTATTGTTATCTGGATCAGAGGTCTCTCTGTTCAAATTTGATATGTCTGAAACCAAGTTTATCTTCATTTTCCCCAAACCAAGTTGCCCTGGAGACTTTCCAATTTTCTCTTATTGGTAACATCAGTCTTCCACTTTGAGATCTTAATCATTGATTAAAAGTGATCATATTTGCTTCAGGTTTTTAACCTCCTGGTCCTAAAAAAAAAACAAAATTAGTTTAAATCAAGGCCTAAGAAAAAATAATGGAGTGCAATGCTTTATGAAAAGTTTGCAAAGCTTCACTGATGCATATTTTTTATTTCCCTAAGAAAGAGAAGAAAGGGTTAATTTTGGGGTCCTCACAGTGAGCGAGGCACTTTGCCAGCCACAGCTTCTATATAATGGACATAGTCCTTCAATAACGCTTTGAGTATTTCAATTCTCACCTTATAGAGGAGAAAACTTCATGTTAGAGACTTGTTAAATGTCACACAGCTAATAATTATGGCATGCTGTTGACATCTAAGTTTTATTTTCTGTCTTCCTGAGGTACAAGCAGCTACCCACCACTCTTGAAAATTATCTTTGGGTTCAATTGAATTGGTATATTGGATTTATATTTGCTGAATTTTATTTTCAAAACTGACAAGTATTTTGGTTATCAGTGATTGTAGTTTTAAGTATCCAGGTCCATTACTTTGCCTAAGAAGTAATATAGATGACAACAATAATAACAACTGCGCACATATATTGAGTGATATATTTATATTTTGCAGGCACCCTACCAAGTGCACTATGTGAAGTTTTAATTTTTTTCACTTCTACCCTGTATTTCTGTATTTTTTAATACCTCCACTTGGCAAAAAAGGACCATGAAGCTTACAGAGATTTATTAACATGTATGTGGTCACATAGTAGGCGGTTAAATGAGGTTCAAACAGGCTTTCAAGTTTCAAACAAAGACTTTGACCTTATTATCTACAAAAAAGACCAATTGGTACATACATATCAACCTACAGCATTTTCAGGGAGATTTTTAATACTTAAAAATTTCTTTAGTATAAATATTTCCAGCATAGCTGGCCTCAAGCTGCCCATGTGACATGCCAGGCACACAGTACATCTGTCAATGTGACAGCCAACTCTAGATATCCTGTATTAATGGTACTGCACAATACTAGATGTATTATGGGGTATTTATGAATTTACTTAAGGCTTCAATATTCCAGAAAGCCTGAATCTTGACCAGGTTCACACTGCCATAGTACCTTGTGGTTGGAGCTGAGTAACACTGATGTGAACCAGGGTGGTTTATTTTAGACAAATGTAGCATATAGGTCCAGAGTTTTCAATGATGAGATATATTCAGAAAAGAAAAAAAAGTCATGACAGATATAGAGTCATGAGAAATAGAAAATGATTAGAAGACAGATCAGACCAATCCAAAATTCAGAGAGCATGGGAATTAATACAGAAAGGTATGCATTCAACAGAGGGATATATCTTTTAGGACCCTAAAGCAGGGTCGGGGGGCAGCTGAGATCTTCAGGTTGTATGGGTTGGACTGAGAAGGAGGTGGCGATACCTACTGAGGGCAGTACTGCTGAGCATTAGCATTTCATGTTTTCCTGCAGCTCACTCAAGCCACTCAGATGGCTGGTATCATTTTCCATCAAAATCCTCATTGCATGCAGATATAAATGACAGGCATTTGAAACTAATGAAACACAGAAAATTTAACAAGACTGTCAGTGCCTCAAATTTGAAATGAGGCAAATTTCTAAACTTATTTTTTAAATGAAATTTCAAAATTAGTATGCTCACAGGAATTATAAACCATGTCAGTGGTATCATCTTAGGGGTATACATCCTGAGCCATAATAATTAGCTTGATGAAGACTTAAAAAATAAACAAATGATTCTGCTGCTGGCCAAAAAGAAAAGAGAAATAAAAGGAAGGGGGATAAATAGGGAAGGAAACATGAATTTAAAAACAGAAGCAAAATATATAGTTAGTTATCCTGAGCCAGAAGTGGAGTTTGAGATACCAAGTCATGATATTCTATTTCATAGCTCATCTGACATAACCTGACTATAAGAAGACCTGTCTTCATGCAGTGTTCAGCCACCTAGTGGTCTATCTAGGGCTAATTTCACCAATGGTGTTTCACATTCCAAGGAGAGCAAAAGATAAGGACTAACAAAAAAGGAATGTCTGCTGTCTCAAACTGGCTCATAACCTCTTTGAGGTCAAAGAGTTGGTCACTTTTACATCTTTGTATCTGTCACAGAATTTAGCATAATGTCTATTCAAAGTCTGAATAACAACTTTTACACACATTAGGTTTTACTCCCAGCAGACGATTGCTTATTCATACCTTCACTTAAAACATTTTTAATGAAGAAACTAGATACAAGTGTGCTCATTAATCATGTGATATTATATAGACATCTAACCTGTTTGCAGATGGACCTGTTTACTCATTTGTAAAATAAGGTGGTGAGACTTAGTATGGCATGAGAGGAAAGTTGCTCTCTAGAGATGCCCTGTGGAGCTCCATCTGCACAACATTTTTGTTAATTAGAAAACTGTGGACAGTATACTAATCAACATCAGAGAGCATGTGAGGCTGGAAGGTATGATTAATGTCAAATGATAAAAGCTGGAGACAAAGGATTATGTCAGCTTGGAACAATAGGCTATACTCAGCAGGTATATTTGCCCTCAGAATCAAAGCTTTCAATGTCCACCTTTCTATAATGGTGTAAAACAAATATGAGCAAGAGAGGAAGGCTTCACCTACAAAATAGCATCAACAACTAAGACTTGGGAGAAATAGCTACAAGGTCAGGGGATGATACAGCTTGAACACAAAGCTACTTTTGTGAGGATATAAGATTGATCAAAGTTCTAATGTCTGTCCAGGTAAGTTAGTTCATCTCTCTATGATGGAGGCCTTTCTCTCTGAACTTGAGGTAGTCATTAGAAATAAAATTTGTAATTATTTCACATGCATAGTAAGCACTGTGCTACTAAGCACTGTGCTTAGTTTATTCCAGTAATCTTCACAAAATCTCCATCAGAGGCAGGAATTTGTAGTACACTCTTTTTATAGATGAAGAAACTGAGGCTTAGATTGTTTAGGTCCTTGCCTGAGACCATGCAGGTAGACAAGAGTTTGAACAACAGTATTTCTCTGAGTGACATCAAAGCTCAAACCATAAAGTATTATTTTCTGTCATTTCCTTCCATACTGTTTAAGAAGAAGAGGGCTAAAGGTGACATACACGTTTAAGCACAGTGCCTTGTGTGTGAGTGTGGAGTATTTATAAAAGTTTTCTTGCTATCTCTTATCCCATCCTCTACCATACTGGCAGAGTTCCAACCTCATGTTTACCTCTGTGGTGATCATGAGGCTTCGAGTAGACTCTCCTCTGCAGGAACAGGCTTCCTAGGACTTTACCTGCAAGATAAAATTCTCCTTTGTAGTCTAATATGAATCATTTCTAGTCAGGAGCATTGGAGAGCAGCAAGTTAGTCACTATCAGTTCAGAGCTCACCTTGTGTGTTCATACTCAAGAGCTGCTGAAAAGATGTTTGAAGGCCTTAAGTTTGTGTTACTGAAAACATCTGAAAGAAACACTGCTGATAAATAAGCAGAGCAGCCTCAAGAAGTAACCCGTTTTCTAATTCCATGGCAGGAGAAGTTATGGAAGAATAGGCCATAGGCAGAATAGGTAGACAGGGCCCACCTGTCCGGGAGGAGTGGGAACTTTGTCCTGTTAAGAATTTGTGGCACTACTTTGTTCTGAGAACTGCCACGGCTGGATTTGTGATAAGAGTATATGGTACCTGAATGATCACAGAACACATCTGTTGGCAGCTTGATGTTCCCAGGAGGGGCAATATGTCTATGACGATTAATCTTGATTGCCAGTTGATTTGCATTAGAAACACTGGCACCTCAGAAGTTAGTAAAATACAGTTATGCGTATGTCTAAGTGGCGTATTGGGGACTCTTTCTGGTCCATGGCCCTTTTCTCTCTGTGTCTTCCTCTGTTCTCTGCCTCCTGGTTTTCATCAAATGAGCAGCTTTTCTCTTTCATGCCCTTCCACTATGATATTGCTACCTTAGAGCCAGGTTACCATGGACTGAAACCTCTGGAATTGTGAGCCAAAATAAATATTTTCTTCTTTTAGTTGTGTATGCCTACTATTTTGTTCCAGCAATGGACCAGTATATTTCCCTAGCTCACTCCTACTTAAAAATTTACACCTACAGATTTCCTCTGAACCCTGACATAGGAGCTTTGACTATTAGGACAGTGAGCATGTCAAGAGTATAGCTAAGTTGTGTGGTTCACTGCAGTGTGCCAAATCTACCTGACAAAATAACCTGCCTCCAATAGCAAAAGAGTATGCTTGTACCCACGGGATCCAGGAGAGTTTTCTGATATTGAACAGGGGGATAAATCTGTCTGATAAATCTCTCTACCTCCCTTGAAGAAGTGTAAGATCCATTAATTACTTCCTAGCCCAGAGGTTATTAAAAAAAAAAAAAACATGTGGTGCCCTGGTAAGGGAAAAAAAAAATCATTATCTAATGTACACAATGTAAAAGAATTTTTTTTTAAAAAGTACAAAATAAATATAATAAAAAAATAAAAGAAAGAATAATTATGTTTTTATCTATGTCTTTAAAGACTAGGAGGAAATATAGTAAAGTGCTATCAATGTTTTTCTTTATGGTCAGAAATTACAGGCAACTGATTTTGTCTTTATTGATATTTTCCACATTATCTGTAAAAATTTTTTTTATTGTTGCAACAAATAAGTATTTATTTAACAAATCACTTAAGTGTAATAGCAATAAGACAAGCTGGGAAATATATGCCTGCAAGGGCCAGGAAACTGACCACAGTAGAGACTAAAGCTCTGTTTAGGTGTCTCCACAGGTGTCTGACCCAGTGCCATCTGTGAGCAGGAATGGGGCATTGTGGGGAGACTGTGGGTTGTGTCTGAGAACTTATGTATCAGAAGATATTTAGAACTGAAAATTTCTTTTTCTTTTTCAGAACACTGGAGGTTGACATATTCTGCTAAGGGAATCTGTTAATATTTAACTTTCTCTTTTTTTTTAAAAAGATGAATCTTGAATATGTTTAAGGAAGATTTAATAGACCTCAAAGAAAAGATGTTGCATATAAGGGCTGGTTTTATCTTTCAACTTTTATAAAGTATAATGTTAAGCATGAAGTGTGATTTGTACTCATGGATGTGATAAAAACAATTAAAATGCATGGCCCTTAATTCTTGTTAAACATTTTCATGAGTTAGGTAATATAACACTAAGGATACCTTTGTAAGTGGCTATATATAACACTGAGTCACACTGTCACTGTGGTATCATTCTTTTCAGTATTTTTAATTGCGTCAGGATAAGACTCTGATTGAATGCTGATCTTTAACAAATTAATACTGGTGAATCTTCTTAGCCAAAGATCAGGCCTCAAGCCCTACTACTGCAGCAGGAAATATTTAACTATAAATCAATCAAGTTGGCTCATTTTTATTTTTTATGGCTAATATCATTTTTATGTTAAAAAAGCAAAACAGAAAAAAGTATAGAAATAAAACAATTTCAAAAAACTGAGAAATCAACACTATTTAACATATTGTATATTGTTATCTTTGAAATAGTTCAGGTTACAAGATCGAGGCATGAGGAATGATCAAACAATCAAACAATGACAGCACAAGCTGTTCTTTTTGATGAACTAATAGAGAATTAGTAATATAGTTATCTATCTTGCACACATACACTTACATTTATTTTGTTTTCATGGTTACCTATTTGAAGCCATTGGTGCTGAGTTATAATGTTTCCTTTTGAAAAGTCACATAGTCAGGCAAATGAAAGAAAAATGGGGCCAATAATATAAGAAACTCATAGATGTGGTTAAAAACATCAGGCATGATTTGCAAGTAAATAAAGCTTAATAAACTGGTCTAGGAAATGTAGGGACCATTCAGTGAGTCATGTTAAATTTATTATAAATCTAAAAGACCTTCTTTTTTATCCTCTCAAAGCACATATCATATATGAGCACAGCATTCTCAGTTATTGCTTGTTTTTTTGTTTTTGTTTTTGTTTTTTTTTTGTTTTTTTTTTGCACTGTTGATTGAGCTCACAACCTTATACTTAGGAGGTGGGCACTTACCCAAATGAGCTAAATCCCCAACCCCTCCCAAACCTTTATACTATTGTTTTGTATCTGTATCACACATGTGAGTGTGCATGTGTTTATATGTGTACATCTGCTGATGACAGGAACTGGAGGCTTTTCTTTATCCTGACTGTCCTATCTGCTCAGCATCCAGAAGTCATGGGCCTGGGGTGCACAGCAGCTGAACCACGCATTCCTGTCTCGCTTCCTACTCCCCAGGCAGGACTGCTGGACTGCACTTAGATAATACAGACACAGAAGTACTCAGAATGTTGAGGTCCATGTGGACTGTGGACTGGAGCTCCAAGTCTATTAATACTAGACACGGTGCTCCACAGACAGTTGGGTCAAGTTCAACACAAATGAGCAGTCACTGATGTCTGTGGACAGACCAGGAAATGACATTGTCTTTTTAATAATGGAAACCACAGTCATAAAATAAAGACTGTCATTTTAAAAAGACAAGATACATATAGAACTAGAGTGAGATAGGTCATCAAGTTGTATATTTACCTCCAGAGGTTCACTTAATCTGCTTTTGGCTTATATTAAGGTTGTGTCTCCTGGGTTTTGAATACTTTTTACTCTACTCATCAAATTGAACCAAAATCTTGAACTTCCTGGATGAGAATTGTTAAACTCCACATGGCAGTAATGGTGACTTTCTACATTGATAGACAGGAACACAAAGGCCTAGAAATGAATGAAGTATGATCTGGCAGAGATTGTTAGTAGAGGTAGAGATTTGAACTGGGTACCTGTTTCTGATGTGGCATTTCTGTCCTTGACATTTCTTTCATCATGTAGCTCACTGTTTAGGCTGTAGAGCATTTAATTAATGTTTAAATTTATTTTAGGTTCAATTTATTTTTACTTGCTAAGTGTAATAAATCCCTTTTATACTCAAATATGGTCTTTAGAAGCATCAGAATCAGCATTACCTGAATGTTGTTTTAAAGATTCAGAACATTAGTCCCACCTGAGGCCTTCTGAATCAGAATCTGCATTTTAACAAGATGTGTAGATGATTTGTATTGTGTTAAAGTTCTTTATAACACTTTTATTAAGTATTTTCATAACTCAGTAGTGTTCTAAACTGAATGAAGAAGCTAGGCAACCTTTTAGTTCAGTAGTTCTCAAACGTCATTGTGTGCATGCCAACAAGGAATGACTTCTACATGGGAGTTCCTCAGATTACTCCCAAAAATTCTATTTCAGGAGGCCTGGAGTGGACACCAGCCTCAATTATTGTAATAACGTATACAAATCGTTTTGATACAAGTTGTCTTTGAAAACTTTGATTTTTTCTTAGTTGGTATTGATAAGTAACTTTAGCATTTTTTTCTGAAATGAATCCCTGCAACATATTCATTTCATGGTTGTCAAGACTAAAATGTACCTGTAAACAACTGGAACACATGCCTGAAATAACCAGATTAATGAAACATGGTATGAAACTTACTGTGAATAATTTTCCTAGTACAATATCATTGTATTTATCCAAAGTATATAGGCCAGTGATAGCAAAACTTTGGCACATTTGCCCAGAGGGCTGTTTGTATCAGTGAAAACTCTAAAAGGTTATCCATTACTGATATGGCTTACAGGAGCTATGGAATCCTAGTTAAAACTAAGTTAAGTATATAAGAATTTATTACCTTTCGTTACTAAGTAGGCAGATGATATGTAGCTTCAGGTAAGGCTGGATCCAGTAGTTCAGTGGTTCTTAGGCAGTTCTTCTAATTCTCAGTTCCATGTCCATTTCTAGCTTTGCTGATATGGGTTGCTTGCTTTTCTCTCTTCTCATGGAGATGTGTTTTTTTTAAAGTGGTGAGGAATAAGGCTGGAAACAAATACTAGTCCACATTCTCCAGCTTCGGTCCAAAACAAAAATCCTGGAGAATTGTTGTGATTAGCCTTTTACAACATGTGGCCATTTTTCTGGACTTCTGTCCTTCAGAGGAAAAATGTATTCTCATGGCCCACACTGAGTCACTATGTCTGGTACTGTACTTGGAAGTCCTGGCCAGAACCACACACTTCATAGTGGAAAGAAGTAGTGGGCATAAATACAATAGATTTCTCAAAACTTGAAATAGCATCAGTGCTTTGGAAACAACCTAAGAATACATCAGTTGGGGAATCATCAAGGATGAGACACACATGAATATTTGGCAGAAATTAGAGTTGATGGATATGAAGATTGCAATAAAACATTTATACAATTTCATATGTAAAATGAAAAGCAGATCTGAAAAATCTGTTCATGGCAGTGTTGATGCGCTAGCGATGTGCATGCATTTGGATAAGGATCATACGAAGGGAAACAATCAGGGCTGAAGGCAGATTCAAAATACAGGTTTGCTTCCTTTCTTTTTTGTATTATGTTTCATTTTCCCTTGAATGTTATACTCTGTAGCCATTAAATAAAACAGTATCATTTAAATTTTTTCCTTAATTCTACTCCTGTGCATTGCTTCCTGTAGGCGCAGATGTTCCTTGACACTCCTTTAACAGCATCTTGATCTGTTGCCTGCCTGAAATTTAGTCCTCACAGGAACATGAGGATTTTCAAACTATTAGGTCCTCAGTCAGAAGCAGTCAGTGAGTATTTGGCCTTGGAGTGAATGTAAAGGCAGAAATGAGATTGTATCTCAGAAATATCCATTTTCTCTCATCTATACTAGTAGCTTATGTTATCTTAGTTCATTGAAAAAGGAGTTTTGTGCTATTATCTTGCTGGTTTTTTTTAAATGATTTATGCCTTTTACTCTGAGTAACTACTCTGAAGACAATGATATATATTAACTATTGTTATTCTCTTATTTTATTATGAAATGTTGTGTTATTTTTACATGAAATATAAAATATACTTCTTGAGTATCTAGATCCTATAATGGGCCAGACATTAACATACCCACAAACTTTTTTTAAATGTTAAAGTTTATATTTGTAAATGATTCTGTATTGAATTCAGTTATAAGAAATAATTCAGATGGATCTATATAAAATTTATTTTTATATTTCCTTTCAATAGTAATACAGTATCTTACAAAACTATAATTTCTGAAAAATTTCTAAAATTACATTTGGCTTATTTTTTTTATGGTTCAGTAGTATTACAGTACTGTATATAGATACATGTAGTTTGTTGAAGCATTGACCAGTAAGGTAAAGCTAAAGCTATGCTGTTTTCAGTTTTTGGCTATTAGGGATAAAGTTAATGTACCAACACACATAAACAGGATTTGTGGTCAATATGCTTTCATTTTTTTTCTGGATAAATGCCCAACAATTTAATTTCTGGATTGTATTGTAATTACTTCTTTAGTTTTTAAAAGTAATTGCCCAACTATTTTCAAAAGTGATTGTACTACATTATTTCTACCAGCAACATATTAGCCCACACACTTTTTAATTTTTGCTTAAGTTAATTTGAGATTATCATTACTTGTTTTCTCTCCCAGAATGCTATCAAATATAATTCTTATCCTTTGTCTCAGTTATTTCTTTCCAGGACATTGCTGCATGTGGGAGACCAAAGAAGAACTGAGTCCTCATTCGCTTCCTCTGTGGACACAAAGGAGAAAAGCAACATGCAGGGATGATGGTATTGCTGATTCCAGGGAAAAGTTAATACAGCTAAGGTCAGGTTGTTTAGCCGACACGTTCTAGTGGATAATGGAATACAGATGGATCTTGTTTGGACCTGTGTTTGAGTGAATTGACGCAGAATGAGCCAGATTCTCGGGAGTTGCCTACTAGAGGTAGGAGCCCACAGGTGCCTGCATGTTAAACTGATTCTGTGTCTGTTTGTCTTTCATCCTCATGGGCTCTGAGGTCAGGGTAACAAACTAGGTCCCTACAAATGGCACCTTAGGTGGGGAAAGACTAGAGTGGGCTGGTTCCCCATGGTGGTGTCTGAGACCAGTGCAGACTGATATGCTACAGCTATATAACAAGCTGTCCCTAAACTCAATGCAGGCAGCAGTAAGCATTTACTTTCATTGGTCTCTATGTTGAGTGTGAACTGTCCAACTCACTAAGTAGATGGGCTCTGTGCCACAGATTTTGATGGGTGGGCTCCATATTCTGGTTTGGGCTGTGATTTCTTTCATGTGTTCTTTCTGGGATATATTTCACATAGTGTTTAAGTATATCTCATTTACTATCTGTGGAATGATGTACTCAAGTTCTTTGGTCAAGTTCTATGGTTCAAGCTTAAACAAAGTCTACCTAATAGCCAAACAGTTTAAGGAAGTTTCATAGCTAATTTCAATTTCATGAGTAAGGAGAATGCATATGGTCTGTGGGGGAAAAACTTCAATTCACATGATAAAAGATGTGTAAAAATTATGATGCAATAACAAAATTTCTGCTTTTCCAAAAACATTTCTCTTGTTCTCATTTAATTTTTAGTGCTCATTGTAATACTGCATTTTGAATGTTATTTATTATAGTGGAGACTGCAGTAAATTATAGTAAGAATTGGCACATGTTATATCTTGCAATATTTTTGATACAACCAAATATGTAAGCAATAGGTACCCTCCAGAGGTTCAGCAGTCCACATAAGTTTTGAGCACATTTTGAAATTTAAGCTTTTACCTTTCTTACTAGTACCCAATCACAAATATTAAAGCATGGTGGTCTCCATTTTTTATTCCTATGATTGCTTCTGAAATTTCTTAAGACTTTGTGTAATATAATAGCAATTACTCTCAATTTGAGATACAATTTTAAAATTCAAATCCTAGTTATAGTACTTGTTAGTTACAGGCATTCATTTCTCATCTATAAAGCAGAAATGATAATCCTCACTTAAAAGCATTTACGTGAAGACCAAATAGATTTGAAACATTTTGCACCCTGTCAAGTACTTTATATTTATTATTCATTCTAGTTATTTCAGTTGTACAGAATATCTTTTCAGAGGATTTTCTTTTTCTGAGATTGACATCATAGTTTTCTTGATTTGTCTAAGCCAGGAATTCTGCCTTTTTAATATTCTAACTGTCATATAGGGAAGAAAAAGAAAGGACTTATAACTGATTAAGGGGATGGGCTGAGGACGTGAGAACACAGCTTCATAATTATTGTTGTTGAATCTTATAAGACAATCTGATTTGGTATTGATGGACCTAAATAGATTTGTTGTGTCCTGGTTTATCACCTCAAATATATTTTGACCTCAGCACACGCATTTACCTTGAAACTGGGAGGACATTGTGGTTGGTGGATGAACTGAAATTGGTGGTATTTTCTTCAGTTGATGGGACCATCCGTTTAGGCTTGGTGGTTATGGAAATTGTGGTTTTCTGTCCTTTATGATTTTTGGCAGGTTTTTTCATACCAGATATATGGAACTGCTTGTCTGGAGGATGATTTCTTTTTATATGTTTTTGTGTAGATATATATAAAGTCTTTCTGTAAAATCTTTTTTCTTCTTTTAAAAGGAATAAAACAGAACAGTAAAATGAAACAAAATAAACAACAATAGGACAGTAGGAAATCCAGAGTTATTACTATACTAGAGATTGTTATCCTCTAATAATTATCCAGGCCACTGACCCCAGGCCTGCAAAGCCAATCAGACAACATAAATGCCAGGTTACTTCCCTATTTCAGTCCCTTCAGTCATCATCATCTCATTCTCTGTCACTTCTGGTTGCTTACAGGTTGTGGGCGGAAGGTGGAAGTGGCTTGCTGGCACTTTCTCCTCTGCCGGCAGGGCCTCTTCCAGCTTCTGCTTGGCTTCCTTGTGGCTTCTGCCAGGCCAGCCGGCCTGCACTGGTACACAGCGAGGCTGCACAGCTTTCTTGCTGGTCGCCCTGGCTAACAGGCCTGCACCAGCACACAGAGAGTCAGCGCGGCTTGCTTTCTATTTCTCTCCAGCCAGCAGGCTGCTACTGGTTTGCAGGGCAGCTGCCTGACTTGCTTGCTGCTTCTCCCTGGCCGCCAGGGCCCCCACCCTGGCACAGGGTATGGGTAAGGCCGCATTGCTTTCTTGCTGCTTCTCCGGTGTGGCAGGCAGGGCCTTGGTCAAAGCACAAAGGTGTGGACCGCATTCCTTCTTCCCCTCTTCTTGTGGGCAGGACCTCATTAGTCCACGGGGCAGGTAGGGGCCACACTGCATCTTTACTGTTTTTCTCTGTCTGGCAGGTCCACTGCCCCTGCTTTTTCTATTTTTGCTGAATCCCTGAATTATCTCTCTGCGTGGACTTCAAGTCTCAGCTTACATCCTGCCTGTGCCCGTGGGACCCACTTCTCTCCTCCTTCTCTTCCTCGTTCTTTGTCTGCTGCTCACTGCTCTGCCATTTTCCCAAGAGTCCTCTATATAATATTTTCATGCTTCTATTTCCAAAATTTTTCCTTTTTATTTTAATTTTTAAATTTAATTTCAATAGTATGTGTTTGAAGTGCATAAAAATTACATTTATTGTAGGGAGATCATATAGTTTCTACTTTAAGTTGAAAGAACAATCCTTTTATGTCTCAGGAATGCAAAGTCCTGGGCCCTTCAGTGTACGGGCCAAGTGTGTGATCTTGGGCCTAGTAGTTCAACCTCACAGTGTTTTTCTCTCTGCTGTAAAAACAACAGAGCAAGACTTCGTGCCTGGAAGGGTTCTCTCCAGCTTTGATGCTCTCTGAACCCATGACTATGCACTGATTTCCCTGGAGCTGTGAACATGTGATGCATGTCTAGGGAATTAGGACAGTGTGTTTCTGGCTTTCCACAATGGGTCTGGGAGGCCAATGACTCCTTGTTTCACAAAGTGATGAAAGCAGAGCATGCAGAAATCCAGTCCTCATCAACTTTGTCAGGTTAGGCTCACTTGTAGTTTACTCTGACCTTTGAATCTTTCTTCCTGCTGACATAGTTATTCAAAGTTGGTCTGATCTGAATTCGTTTTAGGTCATTTTGTTTTGTAACATTCAGTAAATGTTGGCATATTGAGAAATCACCATTTTGTGTCTTAAAATTACTTTTAAATCTCTGCAAATACTTAATAATGAAAGATTAGGTTTTTGTTTTGTTTTATTTGCTAATCTACTAGAGGACTATATTTGTGAAATCTTGTGTTTGAATGGTATACAGCACCAAACTGCTATAAATCACTCCAAATGCTTGTTCTTAATTTTGTTCATTTTCTACTTGCGTATATTCATGAATTTATTTCTGAGTTCGCCAATTATGTTCTGCTAATCCAGTTATCTCTCTATTCAACTACACTGACTCACTTAGTATGCGTTAAAGTGAGTATTATTTTTTAAAAGCAGCTTGCTTCTGCCAACTGCCTTTCTTTTCAGCAGTAACATGCTGACTCATTTTTCCTCGCTTTTCTGTGTGAACTATAAAACTAGCATATAAAGTTCACACACACAAAACCTTATATGATTTGTACTAGAATTTAATTGTCTCATCATATGAGGGACGTTTGATGTGTTCACTAATGTTCCTAATCTCTGAAATAGATTATTTTACTAGTTGATTCAATTTTTAAAGTTTTATAAAATTTTTCCAAAAATGTTTGTTTCTGGGTCACATATAATTCTATTAGTCTAATGAATTGTATGGGTGTATTGTAAAAGTGTTAGAAAATATAGTTTAATGGCTGTTTTACAAGTATGTAGTTGATTCTGGTATATCAACTTTATATTGAACTAAACTCATCATTAAAAAGTAATTTTTTCATCAATATTTTGTTTTTGTATAGTCATAGTTTACAAACAATGATTTTTTGGCAAATAATGATTTTTTATCAATCCTTGCATATTTCTTTTCTTCTGATATTCAAATGTTTTTCTTTTATTCATATGCTTGCAATACATAATTAATACATTCATCAAAGAAAGTTGGTACATGCACATGACACTTTAATTCTTTTTACTTACCTTTCTCTCCTTCTATTTCTTCTTCCCTCTACCTTTTCCATTTGCAAAACATCTGTTTCCTATTACCTATCTTTTATACTACTTTTAATTTACTTATACTTTAATTTCCTCATATAGGAGGAACCATGTGATATTTAAGTTTGTGTGTCTAACTTATTTTACTTAATATTTTCACCTCAAGTTGCATCCATTTTTCTATAAATAACTCAAATTTATCATTCATACCAGAGTAGCACTGTATTGTATGTAAGCAAATTTTCATTATCAATTCATCTATTGACAGATACATAGCTTCCAAGGTTTATCTCTTATATACTGTATATTATCTCTTATATACTTTAAAGCATTTTGGAAAATACTTAGAAGGGGACTAGCTGGGTTGAATGGAATTTCTGCTTTTAGGCTTTTGGGAGTTGCCCTTATTGATTTCTGTATTGTTTGTATTGGTTTACATTCCATCAACATTGAAGAAGAGTTCCATTTTTATAGCAACTTTGGCAGAATTTGATTTCTTGATCATAACCATTTTTATACAGTAAGATGGAATTGTATGTTTTAATTTGCATTTCTTTATTGACCAAAAATGTTATGGGCCATTTTTACTTGTTCTTCAGAATAGTATCTATTCATTTCAATTGTCCATTTTTATTGGGTCTTTCATTTGGAGGGGTCTAATTTTTTGTGTTCTTTTTATATTATAGATCAATGATTTTGTACCTTTTAGAACTTTTAATAACACCAGCAGCCCACTATGGCATGCATGCCATAGTTTTACCATCACTGTTCTAGATAATAATCCTCTGTTCAAGGTATAAGTGGCAAAAATGCTTCTTCTGTGTATAGTTTATCTCTTCTCTCTGTTGCTTCATTT